AAACGCCAGAGAGAATAAAAACTGCTCACATCCCTCCCCTAGCGTCCTTCCCCTTTCCTAGGTTGGTATCAAATACTGCGACTGGCTCACTCACTTGAATGTCCCCATAATGACATAAGCGCCAAGAGCAAGGGTTCGTGGTTCACTGCGATAAATGCTAGATGCGGTGAACAGGAGAGAAAGTCTTCCGGAGCCGTATTCCATCCTTACCCCAGGCTAGGGAAGGATAATCCCTTCAAATTTATTCGTTCTTAACGACACAGTTTCCTTACTCCCCGTTCATGTTCAATTTTATACGCACATACATTTCAACTAGGCCCCCGCTCAATGCGATTCCGGTTGGAAAAACCGAAAAAATTTAAAGGGATCTTTTTCCCCTAGCCTGGAAGTAGTAGAACCGCTCTTGGTATGGTGTACAAAAAACTATGAACTGTTCAAAAATGGATCAAATTCGAGATAAAGCGATCAATTATCGATCGAACTGCACGTACCGTAACGTCGTGGGAGTAGCGGGCACGATATTCTGCAGTTCGAGAGGTCGCTGTGGACGCTCGGCGAAAAGCGGTGGTTGCTTGGTGTTGGCCGTTGGAATACATTGGAGAGATTTGTGAATTGAATGTGCCAGTTGTTTCGTTGGAGACTTCTGCAAAGTATAAATGGTCTGAAAGTCAGTTCAAGGTACGGTAGGGGAGGAACTTACGTAGCTCGAATATTCCTTCATTTCGTGTTCATTAGAGTGATTTTGACTCGTTCGGCCTCGCCAAAAGCAATTTTGGCAAAGTTGATAATTTGAGCACCGCTGACATTTGTACCGAAAACCGGTAAATGATCGGATCTGAAACAAATTACATATACGCGTACGGTAACTCTGCTCTTCGTGTACGGCAGGTGCAGACTTTGCGACAATCGAATCGTGCAAATTCAGGCGATGCGCCAAGATCTACCGGTAGCGTTCCATTGGAACCTCCGCTGAAATCGCGGGTGTATCGCAGAAATACGCTGTGTGTACGAGTGGACATTGTGACGCATTCCTTGCGACACCCCAGATCGCTAGCGAATTACGCGATTTCGCTAGCTAAGGGTCGCGAAGTCTAACACCTGCCCAGCACTCTTCCTCCAACTACTCGCTTTGCAATAAAAAAAGCACTCACCTGGCAAGCATCACAAACAACGGGATGGTAGACCGTGCTCGACCGAGGCCATCCGATGCAGTAACGGTAAAACCACATGACACAAGGAGGACATGGATCTGACATGAAGACGTCGAGGAAGTTTATTCAATGTCACCCGTTGATCCTAAAAACCGAGGAATCAATTTATATCATCTGTTCGAGCCACGGAGTCAATCACTGCTGCCATCTCTTCTGTCTCTTTAAGGGTAAGGCAATGCTCAATCATTTTGCGACAATACCATCAAAATAACTTGTTCAAAACTAATGGTCAACCCAACTTTACGGACCTAAAAATTTGAAATTTGTCAAATCTAAATCATAATTTTTTTATTACTTTCCTGTGAGTCTGGCACACCCCCATCACGCAGTCACTGAATTATGCTTTCAAAAAGCAGATTTAACGATTGGTAGGGTAGGACTTTCAATAGCTGTCGTTCTAAAGAAATGAAAAAATCGGCGAAGTTAAAAGTAAAAGATTATTGCTTGAAAAAATTCACCTTTACAAAGCATTGTGAGACAGCAGCTTCGGAAAATCCAAATGTCGGTGCTTCAAAAACGGCAGTCGTCAATGCTAACACCTATAATGATCGAACATTATCTAGCGAATATCAGAATCTCCGCGAGAAGAAATGGTCTTCCTATCGCCCATCAGAGTATAAACAATCAGGGTGTCGGGATCGAAACACCACTGGCCTTAGTAGAGCCATGAATATACTATCATTCTTCTGGGATAGTAAGGACAGCTACACCGTGTTTCCGCCTTGAGAACCTGGTCAACTGACCGCTCGTACTATTCGAACGAGGGGGTCGTATTTGTGAATAGGAGCAGGGGTCGTATATGAGGTTGAGTGAGGTTAACCATGTTTGGAACCGAACAGAGGGTCATATTTGTGGAAATCGAACGGGTCGTGGTAGGGAAAACGAGGCGCTTCCGCCGAGTTACTGACGATTTTTGGCGAAAACTCAAGAAGAGGAGGTTTAAAACAGCGAAATTCAAAGGATTTGTGACTTTGGACTTATCTACTCCCCTTCCCAATAAAAAAGTGGGTGGATTTGTAGCGCGTCGATGATCTCACAATGAAATACCTGATGGTAGTGCTAGGGGTGGTATCGACATCTCCCTCCCTCTAAGGGTGAAGAGTAAAATTTTCCGGAAAGTGCGCACGGGACGGTTGACATGACATGTTCAATTCTAACGCAATACACTCTAGACGCAAGCGCTTTACTCATCACTGAAATTCACGCTAGCGAACTACACATGCTCATCCCTTCCAGCCATCTTTCTGAAGGGTTATGATACGTTCTGTGGATGGAAAAATCACCTGCTGCATGAAATCCGTAAATCGATCGTATTCCAAAAAGCCTGACGAGTCCGAAATTTGTGAGAACATATCTGGAAGCCAGAAATCATCACTAAGCTTTCACTCATTGTGTACCAACAAATCATACACATTGGAAATGGGTTAAAATGGAGTTGGAGGAGGTCACTCCATCCTGCTCTGCGGCTCTCTGGATGAGGGCCTAAATGGTGCTGAGGGAAAGCGCTTTGATAACAGCTATATTCCAAGAAGCTTTTTGATAGGAACCGTCTAAATCAACCTGGAATGACGAACAAATCAATCTTGAGCCAAGAAACGGATACTTTTGCCTAGGTCCAAGGAGAGATAGTAATGTGGGAAAGGAGCTCCACAATGGGTGAACCCCTTAAACGGCCACAAAAGGTTAGATGTCGATGATATAGGACATTTCACCGGTTCTCATTAATGTGCTACTTCAGATGAGCGTGCTACTGAAGTTCCCCTCATGGTTACCTCGAGATGTCTTGAGCCTGATTCTTGTCGTTAGAGTCGCAGAACAGTATGGAATGCCCCTCCAACTCCATTTTCACCAAGAAACGAATTTACTTCACAATCAATCAAATAAAAGCAAAAAAGTACGTAGTTAAGAAAAGCTGAAGTGAAGGAAAATCTACTCACACCTCAATTTGTCCACCAACTTTCCAGCACAAATTGTCGCTAATGCAATCTTTATTGAAAACACTGTTAATCGACCGGTTTGTTGCCTGGAAAATGTATTTCTTGATCAAACAAAAATCCTCTACCCGCTTATAACAACATCGACTCACTTGTCATAGGTTCCTAATAAAAAGCTCAATAACAATGAAATTGATTTGTCGGTGTCGATGTGTTGTGAAGAGACAAGCCGTTTGTTTAAATTGTGATAGATTGTCGTCAGTAAGAGCTCTATCCGTGAGGTTTTAATCTGAATAAAAGAAAGCTAATCGCAGTGAAATGTAGCTATCAATGAATATAGTTTATTAGCTGTTATG